CCCCTCTGAACTTCAACCCCTGTTTGATTCTGTCTCTTGTGCACCCCAACACCCCTCCACAAGGAAGGGTCCCTCTATCCCCGTGAAATATCTCCTTGCAGGGATGGGTTCCCTGGTCTGACCAAGTATCACCCTGCAAGAAAGGGTCCCCTGAGCACCACCCCATAAGGAAGGGGTCCCATTGCCCCATCAAGCACTGCTACACAGAAGAGGGCTCCCCACCCACCTGAACATCACCCCAAAGGGAAGGGGTCCCCTTGACCACCCCAGCATTGCCATCCAGTTTATGCAGCAGAGAACAGCCACCTCCAGCCTGGCCACCCTGACTGAAGGGGGAGACTGTGGTGTGTTTGGGGAGGCTCTGCCTTTCCTGCCACCTCGCAGAGGTCCTCTCATGTTGGGAGGCACTGGGCAACCTGGGAGCATCTGGAAGTGTCCTGTGGCTACCCCCAACCTTGTTTCACAGCGGGCAGGGCTCCATGCAGACTCCCCCACAGCCTTGCCTAACTCTGGGAGCAGCACTGGAGGTGGGCAGCACCGATCCACTCTCAGCCCGGAGCAGCTCAGCACTGTCACGAGTTTCACGGCTTCAGCCCAGCCAAGGTGGAGGGGACACGCATCCCCCTGCACACCCAGGGGGCGCAGCGCTGGGGCGCGGGGGGCTGCCATACCCCGGCACCGCCGGGGAAATGAAGTGCGAGCTGCCAGCGGGGGCTGCAGGCTCCTGGCGGTGCCGGATGCGGCCCGGCTGGCCAACGCGCCGTAATCGAAGACATGTGTGTGGGCTTTGGGGAGAGGCTGCGCTGGGAAACAGGGCCCTGCAGAGACCGGGGGGCTGTATCCTGTCCAAAAGCCCAGGTCCCACATGAAGCCAGGCATGCGAACGCGATCCAAACCACAGCTGGATTTGAACCGAATCTCCCAGCATCTGGGCTAATTTGCTGCAACTTTGATTGATCGTGGGGAGGGGGCACAGGCGGGAGACGCTCCAGCTCAGACCTCCCAACAGAGCCAATGACTTAAGCAGAGCTGGTTCCAATCTGCTCAGCACATTGAGGCGAAAATGCCCCTTTCCCTGAGCGCTCCCGGTCGCCGGCTCTGGCTCTGCTCGCGATCCCGCAGCCCGGCCGTCCCGGCCAGTCCCTCAGAGCTGGACATCGGCTGCAGCTCCCTGGGGAGATTCAGCAGGTTTTGCGGTCTCTGGATGCAGAACGCTGGGTCAATCTGTCGGGTTGGGACCCCTCCAGAAGACTGAGCAGGACATGAGGGGGGATACTAGTGCAGTCAACCCTCCTCCACCTGCCCCAAACCCCTGCGGGCACCGATCCGCCCCTCCGCTCCTGGGAGAGGCCGGGAATGGGAGAGGAGCTGTAAAAGAGGGTGGAAAAGGTGAAGGTTTTTCCATTCCCCCGCCTCGGTCGCTGCCCCCAGGGCTCGGCGTCACTCAGCAGGTAGCTGGGGCAGCCCGGGGTCCCGGCCGGCCCCGGGGGACGCAGCTGTCTGGGAGCCGCTCACTGCCGTGATTTATGCAGCTCAGCCCCATAAATTACCGGGACGGAGCCCGCGGGAGCCATCGCTCACAGCGACGTCCAGAGCTCGCTGCCAGAACCTGAAACACTTCCAGCCGTTAATTGAAGAGGAAAAAAAAAAAATAAAGGGAGTGGGGGAGAAATTAGTGCCCGGGGAGTTGGGATTAAACTACGGCTCTAACGAGGGTCGCCCACGTCCCGCTCCCAGGATCTCTGTGCTTCCTGTGGGCACAAACCCAGGATGGGGAGCAGGGAGGGGGATTTCTGAGCTGATGCCTGGGATGAGCCCACAGCAGGGTCCCCATGGGCAGTGACACTCCATCCCGGTCCCGAGAGTGGTGTTTCCGCAGTGAGCTGGGACACCCTGGATCTGATGGGAATCTGAGGGCGAGTTCCAGGTGAGTGATGCTGAGCCGTGAGGGCAACGACTACCACCCCCCTGCACCCTCTCTGCCAGCACCCACTCTTTTTAGTCCCAAATTCAGGGCTGGCCAAACCTTGTCCCAGGAACTGGGTACCTCACACCGATTCCCTCTCACTAAGGGACCAGGGTTATGGGGTGAAACCCCAACACCATCAGGGGTGGCCCAAGCTGGGAGAAATGGCCAGTGCTCGGGGTGCCTTGCTCAGGTCAGAGGGTGCCAGCAGGACCTCCCCGGACTAGCGGCCGTCCCGGAGAAGCCCATCACGATGCTTTGCTGTACCAGGAGATTGTGCAAGAGGCTGCGGCTGTGAGAAAGGAGAAGTGAAAGTGTGAAGCGAGAGGCGGCTCCCCCCGCGCCAAGGGGGGTACCCCAGGCTGCACCCCCAGCCCAGCAGCATTTTCTGGGGCGGCGGGAGGGATGAAGCGAGGGGGAAACGTGGCGCTGCCTCCTCCTCATTCTTCTCCACCTCCTCATCCCAAACCACCGCAAGCCCCCAGCCCACCCCGAGCCGCCGCCACTGCACATCTGGGCGCCAGCGCTGCGGGCCCCCCCGCTTTCTGCCCTCCCCCACCACCAGAAAATTAGGGCCGGCTGCCTTCTCCTCTCCTCCTCCAAACCCTCCTCGACATCACCACAACCCATTGGGGTCCCCTCTAGGCACCCCGAAATGATAGCACCCACTTCAGCTCTCCCACCCATTGGGTGCTATCCCCGCCTCCCGCTATGTGTCAGCACCAATCTCTCGGGTGGGGCAGCGAGCAGGACCCCCTCCACTTTATCCTTGCCCACCGTCCGCCCCGTCGGGTCCCACCTGCGCGGGGAGGAGCCGCCTCCGGTAACCGGCGGGGGTGGAGCGCACCGGGAGCCGCTAGATGGCGCCCTACGAGCGGTACGGACGGGGGGGACACCTCGGACTCGGCCCGG